ACTACCACCACTGATGCTACCTCTTAACACTACCACCACTGATGCTACTCTCCTAACACTACCACCACTGATGCTACCTCCCAAAACTACTACCCACTGATGCTACCTTCCTAACACTACCACCACTGATGCTACCTCCTACCTACTTTCACCACCACTGATGCCATTCCTAACACTCACCACCACTGATGCTACTTCCTAACTTAACCACCACTGATGTGCTACCTCTCTAACACTACCACCACTGATACCTCTCCTAACTACCACCACCACTGATGCTACCTTCTCCTAACACTACCACCACTGATGCTACCTCTCTCCTAACACTACCACCACTGATGTACTTCTCTCAACACTACCACCACTGATGCTACCTCTCCCAACACACCACCACTGATGCTACCTCTCCCAACACTACCACCACTGATGCTACTCTCTCTTAACACTCACCACCACTGATGCTACCTTCTCCTAACACTACCACCACTGATGTCTCCTATCACTAACCACTGATGCTACCTCTCCTAACACTACCACCACTGATGCTACTCTCCTAACACTACCACCACCACTGATGCTACTCTCCTAACACTACCCCACCACTGATGCTACCTCTCTAACACTCACCACCACTGATGCTACTTCCTGACACTACCACCACTGATGCTACCTCCTATAAACTACTACCACTGATGCTACCTTCCTAACACTACCAGCCACTGATGCTACTCTCCCAACACTACACCACTGATGCTACCTCCTAACACTACCACCACCACTGGATGCTACCTCTCCTAACACTACCACCACTACTGATGCTACCTCCTAACACTACCACCACCACTGATGCTACCTCTCCTAACACTACCACCACTGATGCTACCTCTCCTAACACTACCACCACTGATGCTACTCTTCCTAACACTCACCACCACTGATGCTACCTCTTAACAATACCACAACTGATGCGCCTCTTAACACTCACTACCACTGATGTTACTCTCCTAACTTTACCACCACCACTGATGCTACTCTCCTAACACTACCACCACTGATGCTACCTTCCAACCTTACCACCACCACTGATGCTACCTCTCCCAACTTTACCACCACCACTGATGCTACCTCTCCTAACACTACCACCACTGATGCTACCTCTCCTCTAACTTACCACCACCACTGATGCCACCTCCTAACACTACCACCACTGATGCTACCTCTCCTAACTTTACCCACCACCACTGATGCTACTCTCTCACACTACCACCACTGATGCTACTCTCCTAAACACTACCACCACTGATGCTACTTCCTAACACTACCACCACTGATGCTACCTCTCCTAACACCACCACCACTGATGTTACCTCTCCTCAACACTCACCACTGATGTTACCTCTCCTAACTTTACCACCACCACTGATGCTACCTCTCTCCTAACACTACCACCACTGATGTGTACCTCTCCTAACACTACCACCACTGATGTTACCTCTCCTAACTTTACCACCACCACTGATGCTACCTTCCTAACACTACCACCACTGATGCTACCTCTCCCAACACTACCACCACTGATGTTACCTTCCTAACTTTACCACCACCACTGATGCCACCTTCCTAACACTACCACCACTGATGTTACCTTCCTAACACTACCACCACTGATGCTACTTCCTAACACTACCACCACTGATGTTACCTCTCCCTAACACCACCAACACTGATGCTACCTCTCCTAACACTACCACCACTGATGCCACTCTCCTAACACTACCACCACTGATGCTACCTTCCTAACACTACCACCACTGATGCTCTCTTCCTCAACACTACCACCACTGATGCTACCTCTCCTAACACTACCACCACTGATGCTACCTCTCCTAACACTACCACCACTGATGCTACCTCTCCTAACTCTACCACCACACTGATGCTACTCTCCTAACACTACCACCACTGATGCGCCTCCTAACACTACCACCACTGATGTTACCTCTAACTTTACCACCACCACTGATGCTACCTCTCCTAACACTACCACCACTGATGCTACTCTCCTAACACTACCACCACTGATGCTACCTCTCCTAACACTACCACCACTGATGTTACTCTCCTAACTTACTACCACCACTGATGCTACTCTCCTAACACTACCACCACTGATGCTACCTCTCCTAACACTACCACCACTCGATGCTACCTCTCCTAACTTTACCACCACCACTGATGCTACCTCTCCTAACACTACCACCACTGATGCTACCTTCCTAACTTCCACCACCACTGATGCTACTTCCTAACACTACCACCACTGATGTTATTCCTAACTTTACCACCACCACTGATGCTACCTCTCCTCTACTACCACCACTGATGCATCCTTCTCCTAACTTTACTACCACTACTGATGCTGCTACCTCTCTAACACTACTACCACTGATGTCTACTCTCTCCTAACTTTACTACCCACCACTGATGCTACCTCTCCTAACACTACCACCACTGATGCTACCTCTCTAACACTACCACCACTGATGCTACCTCCTAACCTTACCACCACCACTGATGCTACCTCTCTCTAACACTACCACCACTGATGCTACCTCTCCTAACACTACCACCACTGATGCTACTCTCCTAACACTACCACCACTGATGCTACCTCTCCTAACACTCCACCACTGGCTACTCTCCTACCTACACACCACTGATGACCTCTCCCTAACACTACCACCACTGATGTTACTCCTCCTAACTTTACCACCACTGATGCTACCTTCCTAACACTACCACCACTGATGCTACCTCTCCTAACACTACCACCACTGATGCTACCTCTCCCAACACTACCCACCACTGATGCTACCTCTCCTAACTTTACTACCACTCACTGATGCTACTCTCTCCTAACATCACTCCACCACTGATGCTACCTTCTAACACTACCACCACTGATGCTACCTCTCTCCTAACATACCACCACCACCATGTCACCTCCTAACACTACCAACAGTGATGTGCCTCTCCTAACTTTACCACCACCACTGATGCTACCTCTCCTAACACTACCACCACTGATGCTGCCTTCCTAACACTCACACCACCACTGATGCACCTTCCTAACACTACACCACTGATGTTCCTCTCCTAACTCCACCATCCACTGATGTTACCTTCCTATACCGCACCACTGATGCTACCTTCCTAACACTCCACCACCACTGATGCCACTTCCTAACACTACCACCACTGATGTTACCTCTCCTCCTAACTTTACCACCACCACTGATGCTACTCTCCTAACTTTACCACCACCACTGATGCTACCTCTCCTAACACTACCACCACTGATGCTACCTCTCCTAACATACCACCACTGATGCTACCTCTCCTAACACTACCACCACCACTGATGCTACCTCTCCTAACACTTCCACCACCACTGATGTTACCTCTCCAGACACTACCACCACTGATGCTACCTCTCCTATAAACTACTACTACTGATGCTACCTCTCCTAACACTACTACTACTGATGCTACATCTCCTAACACTACCACCACTGATGCTACCTCTCCTAACACTACCACCACCACTGATGCTACCTCTCCCTAACACTACCACCACTGATGCTACACTCTCCTCACACTAACACCACTGATGTTACCTCTCCTAACTTTACCACCACCATTGATGCTACCTCTCCTAACACTACCACCACTGATGCTACCTCTCCTAACACTACCACCACTGATGCTACCTCTCCTAACACTACCACCACTGATGCTACCTCTCCTAACACTACCACCACTGATGCTACCTCTCCTCACACTACCACCACTGATGTTACCTCTCCTAACACTACCACCACTGATGCTACCTCTCCTAACTTTACCACCACCACTGATGCTACCTCTCCTAACACTACCACCACTGATGTTACCTCTCCTGACTTTACCACCACCACTGATGCTACCTCTCCTCCCATAACACCACTGAGGTTACCTCTCCTAACTTTACCACCGCTGGTGGTGGTGACAGTGGCAGATGGAGGAGAGGTGGCTGGCAACACAGTGGTGGTGAAGGCGGCAATGTTAGCTGACAGAGTGATGACAGGTGGAGGAACTGAGGTTGTCCTTTTCTATTTAAAGAAAGCGTGGAGTGTTGGCTGGATTGCACAGTGCTTGAGATTTCTCTCATATTGTTTGTAGGGAGAGATTAGTTGTTTGCTACCCGCAATGATGGTCCCAGCATGCTCTGTATCAGGGTCCTCTTCACCCATGACTTCTTCTGCTTGCTGACTAATTCAAGAATTCTACGAACACCTTTCAGAGTCAAAGTCTTCGGCTTAGGGGGTGCAGTTGTTTCTTCCTTCATTTCTTCCTCTTCCTGAGCCCTCTCCAGCTCCAGCTGTTACAATTCTTCATTTCTTTGGTCTTCACCATGACCCTCAAGCAGATTCTCTATGTTTTCCTCATCCACCTCATTAAATCCTGCTTGCTGAGCCAGCAGCATAATCTGCTGGTTTGAAGCAGCTGTTGATTGTGGGAATCTGGAGAAACTGTAAACACACTCTGGCCATTTTTTTTTAACACACTCCATTCATTGCAGAGTCGGGAACTTCATCCCAGGCCTCTTTAATATTTTCCAGAGCTTTCTTTATATTAAAATCTTTTGAAAACTGTCTTAATGTTGGCTTCTTTTCTCTGTCTGTTTCATGAATCAGCTGCTCGATGGTACGGCAAAGGCAATATGCCTTGAAAGCAACAATGACTCCCTGATCCATGGGCTGAATCAGAGAAGTAGTGTTCAGAGGTGAAAACACAACCTTCACATTCTTACACCACTCTTTCATAGCTACTGGATGTCCTGGTGTATTATCAAACACCAATAAAACTTTATTAGATACTAAGTTATTCTCCCCACAATATGTTTTAACAAAGTGAGTAAAATATCCCTTGACATAGTCGTCAGTCAAAGCACTTGTCACTCACATCTTAGCATTAGAACGCCAGATCACAGGAAGCTGGTTCTTGAGGACACCCTTCAGTGCACATGGACTCTCACTAAGATAAACAAACAAAGGTTTCAGTTTCACATCACGTTCAGCATCGCTCCCCATAATTAGTGTCAGATGGTCTTTTGTTGCTTTAAATCCTGGTGCTGTTTTTTCTTCTTGATCTATGTATATTCTGAAGGGCATTCGCTTCCAATAAAGTCCAGTTTCATCAATGTTGAACACCTGCTTCGCACTATAGCCACCACACTTGATAATTTCATTCAATGTTTCTGGGAAACTCCTTGCAGCAACCTCATCCACACTTGCTGCTTCAACCATCACGTGAATATTATGAAGGTTTGCACGTTTCTTAAACCTATTAAACCAGCCATGACTAACAGTAAACGTCTCTGCCACAGTAACTGCAACCTCAGAAGTTGGCCCAGGCCGTCTTTGTCGCAAATTGTTCCACAGTGATCGATCATTCTCCTGGATCACAGATAAGGAGAAAGGCATGTGACGTTGTGTGCTGTCCCCAATCCACACCGAGAGAAGTCGTTCCATATTCTCCATGACATCCCGACTACGACACAGTCTCGTTGCACCAGTAGGGATCACCGATTCACCAACCTCTTTGAGCCTTGGTGCATTCTTTATAATTGTACCCACTGTAAACACACTAAGGCCCAGAACATAGCCAATTTCTGATGGACCCTGACTACTCTCATTATGGTGAATAATGCCCAATTTTACGGCTAGTCACCTTCTTTCTCTTCTGGGCCGGTGTACCAGCAGGTGTTGAAGTGGCAGGTCACTTACCAGACATTGTTGAGAGAACACAGTACTTGTATTGAAGTTGTACACTGTAAAATATTGTACCAGGCATCACACCCGTGAACTGAAGCTGTGGCGCCAAACAAAGATGCCTCTGGGCTGCTCCTTAGTACCAAGAAAACGTGTTATTGCGCATAGATGGTGCAGTCCCAGTGGTGGGCACAGCGAAACGAAAAGTTAGCTTCGCTAACCGCTAATCCAGTAACTAAAAAGTTAACTTCGCTAACGCTAAACCGCTAAACAGCTAAAAAAAATTAGCGGAAGCTAACGCTAACCGCTAACTTTTATTATATGAATTTAGCTTCGGCTTTTTTTTGGGGGGGGGGGGCGTTAAAACCCTTAAAAACAGACCTAGAGAGCTGATATTTTCATATGTTGTCTTGTAGCTTAGACATAGAGCTTTCCAAAAAGGTATTGCATGCCAAGATCAGATGATGATCAAGGTGTGCACAAATAATTAAATGAACAAATGAAATTAAAAATTAGTCTACATTCAAGTTTCAACATACACTTTATAATCTTTATTTACTGTATGAAAAGACAGAAGGTATTAAATGAATCAAAAAAATATGGTACTGTATAGAATAGGTAGCAAATAGCATCATGCCAAGATCAGATGGTGATCAACTTATCAAGGTGTACACTGTACATAATTTCACAAATAATTAATTTGCATTCTCATACAACCTATCGGCCTTATTCATTATTCATGTAAATATGCAATACCAACCACATACACATTATACCAGTGCATTTTTATAGAACTTATTGTTGGTCTTAGTCATTATACCAGTGCATTTTTATATAACTTATTGTTGGTCTTAGCCATGTAAATAAACAGAAAACTCTAAACTTTACACGTACTAACACGCAGTCAGCCAAGCGTACCTGACTGGCTGTTGAAGACACGCGTCGCGGCGTCACATGCTTACAACAGACAGGAACAAACATGTATAAATTTTGTTAGCGGACTTAAAGTTAGCGGAACTAAATTTAGCGGAAGCTAATTGGTCCGCTAATGGTTTCCAAAGTTAGCGAAAACGCTAATCTGCTAACAAGAATGTTAGCTTCGCTAATTAGCGGTTAGCGGAACCGTGCCCACCACTGTGCAGTCCCAAAACAGAGCAAAGAAAATTTTAGGCCTGAGAGTACTGGTTAACCAGTTAGTTGCACTGGACACAGGTGCCAGAGGAGGTGGGAAATATACACAGTTGTCAATTGTTGTTTGTGGGAATATTTCATTCAATCTAGTAATGATACAATGCTTCTCATTCTGGTAAATGCATGGTTTATATAATTTGTTTAACACTGTGCCCATCATTGTTTTCAAATTAGGTATTTCGATTGTACGCCTGGCAAAGGGTGCGGGTAAGGAGAGTGTTTTCTGCACTTAACTCTCCTCCCTCCCAGCCACATTTCACTGAATTTACTGTTGTTACATAAATTTTAAATTATGGAGTGAGAATAACAAATAAACAATGTACAGTACTGTACAATATTGTATCATGAATGACAGTCATAGTAGAATGAGTGAGAGGGGCAGTGTCGGTGAGAGCAGTGGACAGGAGGAAGGGAGGAAGATGAGAAGTGGGTGGGAGACAGTGGATATCTAGCTAATCTGGTCTGACTAAAGCAAATCCATCACTGAAATTCTGATTTAGGTGGTGATAAGAGAGGTACTGGGGGTGATCATGGAGCTGGTGGTGGAGGGGTAGATGTGATAAGTGGTGAGGAGATGATATGTCAATCAATTTGTTTGGTAACACTGGCTGCAGCCACAACTGAACAGCTGATGTCTACCCACAAAATTGAGTGTATATATAATGAATGTTGCATTCCTTCTACATTATGTTACATAAATTATAAATTATGGAGTGAAAAAAAAAACAAATAAACAAAATACAATACTGTATAATATTGTACTATCATGAATGACAGTCATCGTAGAATGAGAGAGAGGGGCAGAGTGTCAGGGTGAGATGCAGTGGGTGGGAGGGAGGCAGGGCGGTGAAATTATGAATTAGGTGGTGATAATAGAGGTAGTGGTGGTGATGATGGTGATTATGGAGCTGGTGGTGAGAAAGCAGAAAGGTGAGGGTGACTTACCTATTATATAATAGTAGAACATTCTTTCATTAATCGGCAAATGGGTAGTAAAAAGTTGTTTTCGTTATAGTGTGGATTACGTTCAAAGGATTAATGTTCAGTGGTGACTTATAGTCCGCAGACATAATGTTGTTTCTGCTGGCATTAGGTTAGGATACAGACCTATCTGGCATATATCTGAGGTGGGGGATGACCTACACTTCTCTTCCTGTAAACTCTGTAACTGTCCCAACGCTAACACCCTTCAACACTATTGCCTTGACTGTCCCACTGTCAGGGACCTCCTACCACAAGACAAGCCACTAACCACTATTATGTCACTGCCTACTTATTCATAATAATTCCTAATAATTTAGATTTCATTCTTGTATGCTACCCACACTTTGGTGGGTATTAGTTCCCATTGTCCTTAAATCATATCAATATTGTCACCATATCACAAGTCATAGTGTAACCTATGAGAAACGAGTACCATTGCATTAGTGTTTGACCTCATGGTGGTCTTGTAACTAGGCTTGTTGCCCCCTGGGGTGTAATAAATTAATTAAAAAATAAATAATAAGCCCAACATGACTAAACAGACAGTCGCAAGCAGCAGAGGCAGGTAGAGTGTTAAGCTTGAGATATAAATCACATAATGTTGGGAAAGGCCTCAGTAGCCCCATTCTATTCCCTGGGCATGCCAAGTAGCTATCAAGCTCCTTCAGTTGAGGAGACTCTGTGGATGATTGTTGCCTCCATAGTGACTGAGTCTGACTAAGACTCACCATGAACTGTCCCTCTAATTGGGGTGTGGCTGTGGTGACATCACTTTTTTATTCTAATTGATGAGTGGCTGAATTTTTCACGCCATGCAACATCTGACGGGTGCTGTACTCAGTTATTTAAGAAGAATTTTAAATACACTCAGTCTCATACATGTGTATAAATACAGGCTTTATATCTTAGATGGAATTATGTAGAGCATTTTAGAAGCACAGCCTCTTTGAAATTCATTTTAAGCACATGTATAAATGCAAAGAGCATTTGTTGTTTAATGGGAAGACCAAGCCCCTGAAGGAAAGGTGGAGGAGAAGATAGGGGATTCGATTAAGGAGTGGGGGGATAAAAGGTGAGGTATGGACAGAAGAAGATCAAAGGGAAAGTCCGCTGTCATGGTCACTGCCACCTGACCTGACCTGACGTCACTTCGCTTCATGAGACCTCTAGGTATGTGACCATGTGGTGTCTTCCCACACCCTCACTGTAACGTTCACGGCTCCACCCACACCATACCCTCCACGCACACAACTCTTTTACTATGGTTAATAATTAATTGATCAATTAATAAAACATTATTTTTAGTTTGCATGTGACAAGTAATGATTTTGTTTTTTCAATTGCATTGGTGTAAAAGTATTACAAAATCGTACTTAAGTAAAAATACTAGAAAATTTGAGTGCAGTAATAACCCGATTTACGCGGTCAATTGAATCCGCAGAGGTCCGCGTAAAACGAGAAACGCGTAAATGGAATAACAGAACATATGGGATTAATTGAAATAGAGACTGGGCCGACTCCCAAACTCCACTTTTTCCGACACAATACCGACACAATACCTATGTTGTAGTAAAAATAACATCTTAATTTTATGATGGTATGCACACACAATTAATATTTAAGAGAAATACAGTCGCCAGGTTAATGTCCATTCAAATAATGGACTCAAATCCCCCCCCCCCTCTTCCCAGCTCACTGGCCCCTACCTCTCTGAGAAATGATTGGGTGAAACACTAGATTTTCATGTTTAGTAATAAATAATACCTCAGACTAAAGTTAGGATAATATAATTGACATTTCTGGATTCCTTGCAGGTCAGGGAATATTTTGAATGTAAACTTCATATATTTTGCACAAAAGATAAAATACTTGCTTTGTGTAAACCAAATTATTACATTACATCTAAAATTTATATGTCTAATGCAAAATTCATGATGTTTATATTCAAAATGATCATCATTTTGTAAGAATTCCAGCAATGTCAATTATATTCTGGTCCAGTAATTTGTATGAATTTTATGAGCTAAAACAAATATCTTCACTTAATAAAAAAAAAATATTCTTCAAGACACTATCTGTCAATCAAAGTACCCCAACTTGCCTCCCCCCCTCTTCCAACCACGCCAGATGGTCGGTCCGTCCCAACCCTCCCCCCACCCCCCACCTTCCCTCCCTACCAGAGAAATGTTGGGTGAAAGGACTAGATTTTAACTTTTAGTAATAAATAATACCTCAGACTAAAGTTAGGATAATATAATTGACATTTCTGGATTCCTTGCAGGTCAGGGAATATTTTGAATGTAAACTTCATATATTTTGCACAAAAGATAAAATACTTGCTTTGTGTAAACCAAATTATTACATTACATCTAAAATTTGTATGTCTAATGCAAAATCCATGATGTTTATATTCAAAAAGATCATCATATTGTAAGAATTCCAGCGTGTAAATTATATTCTGGTCCAGTAATTTGTATGAATTTTATGAGCTAAAACAAATATTTTCAGTTAATAAAAAAAAAAATCTTCTTCACGACACTATCTGTCAAACAAAGTACCCCAACTTGCCTCCCCCCCTCTTCCAACCGCGCCAGATGGTCGGTCAGTCCCAACCCTCCCCCCCACCCCCCACCTTCTCTCCCTACCAGAGAAATGTTGGGCGAAAGAACTAGATTTTAACTTTTAGTAATAAATAATACCTCAGACTAAAGTTAGGATAATATACGTAATTGACATTTCTGGATTCCTTGCAGGTCAGGGAATATTTTGAATGTAAACTTCATATATTTTGCACAAAAGATAAAATACTTGCTTTGTGTAAACCAAATTATTACATTAGATCTAAAA